CTGGTATGTCACCCATAATGTTATGTGCATTGCAATATTGTGAGCAAAACTGTGCTCTTACCCTGCTAATTGAACCTTCACACTCTGCTCTTACTGGTGCAATGTGCAATTAATGAAGATTGGCCACCAGGCTGGTCCAACTTAGCAATAAAACCTCCCACACTGAAATGACAGGTGTTTCAGTTTCATTGTCTAACCCCTGTAGGTCCTTCACATTATCTTTGTTGTGAATTTACACTAAGCTAAATCAAATTGATCTGAAATAAATTGCTGGTGTTCACCTGAGGTTCTGTTTAAATTYGACAAATTATGATAATGATAAATGCTCTTACCTGGTAAGAACCAAATTATTTTTTATTATGATATTATGATACATAAAACAGGATTTTCTCAGAACACTTCTTATGACACTATGACAACGTAATTGTGTTTCTGTTTGCAGAAAGTGGAGGAGGTAAAACATGCCAACAGCGAAGAAGTACAACATGAAAAGGTTGAGGACAAGCAGCAGACCAGCAGTGACTCAAGAAGTGAGGTATGATCAATTTGCCCGTTCAGCTCATGTAACTGCACATCTAAGCCAGTCAAATCTGTATTTGAATGTCTTTTACTTTTGAAGCTCAAGACACCCCAAAAGTGCTTCACGGAGGAAAAAAATTAAACAAAAAAAATACCCATACAATTAAGGTGAACCAAAAAGAAACCAATCACAAGTTTAAAACAATTATTTAAAATAAGTTAGATAAATTATGTAAAAACAGAACAGCAAATAAAATCCATCCATCCATTCATTATCAAAACTCGTTTCTTCCTTTCAGGATTGCGGGAGTCACTGTTGCCCATATGCAGCAGTCACAGTGTGAGGGGCGGGGGACACCCCAGACAGGTCGCAAGTCCATCACAGGGCCACACATAGAGACAAACGAGACAAACAACCATTCACTCTCACTCAAACATAAGGACAATTTAAATGTCCTGATGCATCTCAGTAATCTATATAAGGACAATTTAAAGTTACCAATTAACCTAACAGTCATGTTTTTGGTGTGTGAGAGGAAATCGGAGTACCCAGAGAAAACCCAGGCATACACGGAGAACACATGCAAACTCTACTCTACTGGGGCTGTATTTATCAAACTTCTACAGTGAAATTTTAGACTTAAATGCTAAGAATTTCTTAAATTTACTCCTACATTCAGATTGTGTAAATGCCAGTTATCAAAATTCCTAAGACTAACCTCTAATTTACACTTTACATGCTTGCGCAATTTGCTGCCATTCGTTTTCACCCCAATTTATACTGCGCCTGCTCTGGTGCGAAGCACAGAGGAGCTCTGAGAAGCTTGAGCAGGAAATGGGACATTGTATGATAAAGCCAGTGACAAATGTGGAATTCATAGCAAAATAATTAATTCTGGGGAAGATGCACTGAAAACACAGCTGAAACTGTATCACTATTGTCTTGTTGAAACTTTTGATTTCAGAATATAACCCATGTGTATTTTGTGTGCATGCATAAGTTTCGTTTTTCATGTTGCCATCTGTTTCCCAAAGAGAAAGATACACACGTACACACCATGCTTACAATGGTTGTGTATTTACTCTGGAGGTTGGAGTGGAGCGGAAACACATCCAGTATAAATTGGGGGTAAGAAACACTCTTACTCCTAATTTACATTACATGTGTTACGGCTCCACTCTGCTGCGCTGCAGTGCGCAGGTCGCAGCTGTGCGTTTCAAGTCCAGTTTACACTACCTCTGCTCCGGTCCAACAGACGTGCAGGAAGCAGATTGCGCGATAAATTCATTGATAAATTCAGTGATAAGTGTGGAAGCCACAGCAAAAAATAATTAATTCTGTGAAAGACAAACTCCAAACAGCTGAAAACAACGATATAAAGGCTTTTGGTATCTATGTTGAAACTGTCTCGCTGTCGTCTTTCTGAAACTTCTGATTTCAAAATAAAATCCACGTGTATCATGTGTGTACACATATGCTTCATGCTACATGTTTCCATCTGCTTCCCAAACAGAAAGATACATTCTGACAGCATTTGTGTAGAAATATATCCATATATTTATTAATATAGCTGCAATTTCGACATTATTCCAACAAATTATCCAGCCTAAAAGTGTCTTATTTTGAAAATACGAATGTTGTGCTCGTTTCTTTTCCTATTGTTGCAACGTAATCTTTAAAAATGGACTCTGGCGCAGCTCCAGCATCCGTCAAAAATAGGATCTGTTCTAATTTTGACGGATCGCCGTCCGCTCACCGCCGCCCTGCGCAGCCAGTGTAAACACTTTCATTGATTATAATGGGTGTGTATTTGCTGCGGAGGTCGGACCGGAGCGGAGACGGAATGCAAGTAGTGTAAATTGGGGGTTATTCTCCCGGATGTTTAAGATAGCTCCAGAAGTCTTTTAACTGGTTAAGAACAGTGGTGGACAAAGTGCTCAACTCTTGTACTTATGTAAAATTATTGATACTCACAGTCAAATCTACTCAACTACAAGTAGAAGTTACTCCTTCAAAAATCTACTCAAGTTCAAGTACCGAAGTACTTACTTTTGAAAAATACTTAGGTATTCAAAAGTACATGCATTTAAAAATACTCAAGTATCCAAAAGTACAAATAAAAATTTCTAACATCAGTACAGTGATTTTACAGAAACTTGTAACTCAGAAACTACTTGCTGTATTGACACATAGAACCACTCTGCTACAAATTGTACACCACCTGTAAAGACTTAATATAAAAATACAATAAAGTGAACTGTGAGTTCTTAAATGCAGAAATGTAGTTTATCCGTGGTGAACACAGAAGATATTTAAACTGATACAAAGTATTTTTCAGTCCTAAAATCTCAAACATCGAGCTGAGAAATGGTCATGCATGAGCTGGTTTCTCTTGAGTTTCTTCAACCATCTTCATTGCTGGGTTCCGTTTAAAATGAAGGTGGGAGCTCAGCTTGCGACCATTAATGAGGATGATGTAATTCCAAATCCATCTCAGGTGTGAGTTATGTCTGTGATTAGTTCCCCTTGTAAGAAACATAACGTGTGGCCTTTACATTTCAAGAAAGGAAAAACAGCAACAGCTGACAAAGCTGTGCTACTGCAAGCTTCCTAGAAATGTAATGGAGTAAAAAGTAGGGGTGTAAGAAAATATCTATACACTGAAATATCGCGATATTTCATTTCCTGATACTGTATCGATATTCTAAAGCCCTAAATCGATTTTTTTATTAAGGTTTAAAATGTCAACTTTCCTGCCAGCCGTTCATTTTTATGTTGTAGTTCAGCCTCTGACCACTCGTTGGCAGCAGTGAGCCAGCCATTTGGCTCCTCTACCTCTTGAGGTAGAGGCCATTGTTAAGTGTTGGGTGACCATATTGTAAATTAATATTAAAAACTAAAAACTGCAAACATATTTTTTTCAAGCTATTTATTGTCAAATTTAGTCTAATAATTGAAAACATGGATGAAATAAGAAATATTAAACAAATAAAATAAAATACATACAAAGCAGAACACAGCTAAATGTATCAAAAGCATGCCTCTGTAATATTAGAATTTTCTGAGACAATGAATTTTGGTTTTTCATTTTTTTCCCCTGTAAGAGGTTTTTATTTAATAGAATTTTTGGACAAAAAAATCGCAATATATCGCAATATATCGCCTTGCTTACAGTATCGCAATATATCGGGATATATCGTATCGTGACCCCTCTGTCATGATATGTATCGTATCGCCAAATTCTTGCCAATACACAGCCCTAGTCAAAAGTACAGTATTTGTCTTTGAAATGTAGTGGAGTGAAAGTCATAAGTCTGTGACAGGGTCACAGATCATTTTCACAGACTCAAAAGATTTATCTTACTTTTCCCCACCTTTTGCACCAAATTAATCTGAGGAGTTGATCAGCCCTGCTGTTTAACTCTTAAGTTTTTCTCAGTAGACAAGAATATAATGGCTTCACCAAAATCCGGTCCACAACATTCAAACTGCTATTATGTGCAGCTTGTTACTGGCGCGAGTCTAGAGTGAAGTGTGTCCGTCTGTGAGTGTTTTGTGACAGCGGAGGGGCTCAGCAGCACCCGCTGGACAGAAGAAGTCAGAAAGAGTGATAGAAGTCTGTCTCCAAACATAAGCAGCTACAGAAATAACACCAGAAATAGAAGCTCGATTTGTTGCTAGTCGTTTTTAACAAAGAAAATGCCGCTAAAAGGATTGGATTAATAAAGTCTCCACTTCAACTCAGAACAGGAATGAAACTAAAAACTGCTCCCATGCTTGTTTACACCAAAAACATCGCTGATTCGTTCAGTTCGCTGTCAATCAAAAAGGGATTCAGCCTCCGACAGATCATCCAATCATCACGCAGACAGCCAGCGTCCAACCCAGCCCCCTGCCCCATAGACCCCCAGAGACCCTCAGCGTCCAATGGGCGGGACAAAGCCAGCATTTAGCCATTGACTCGTCTCGTTTCGTTGCAGTCTTTGCATCGCTAATGAGCTCTGTAGACGCTCAGCGTCCGACTGTTTAAAGTACTGTGAAGCTGCTGAATGAGGGAAATGAGGAAAGCCGTGTCATTACCAGTGATAAGAAGCTGAGTCTGAACAAAAATTGAGCACGTTGTAGTGCATAGTCAATGACATGTACACACAACAGTATATATTATCTTCTATTTTTTTCCTTTTTTACATTTTAGGGGAAGCTGAGCTTCCCTTGCAGTCTTAGAGAAATCGCCTCTGATTCTTGAATATGAAATCTGATGTAGTGATTAGTTTTTACATGGATGTTATACATCATTCAGGATCAGGTTTGCACAGCAAAGTGGCATAAGACAGTCACTTCAGTCTTAGTCCTAGTCAGACTGAGATGCTTCATAACTTGCCCAGCTTTGAGCCAGGATTTTTTACACTTAAGTTTTTTTTTATTCTTAGCATTCTTAAGAGTAATCCTAAGAAGTTTGATAAATACTGGCCCTGGTTTCACAGGACCAGGTTCTCCAGTCTGATAACCAAAGTTTCTGCCTTCTTCAAACCTGGATTTACTGATTTTCAGGACAGCAGTAGAGACCCTGAAAAGAGAAATGGATAAAGAAAATGGAAGGATGGAATTTCCTTTATGTAGTACCCTTTTACATTTAGATTTAAACATTAAGATTTAGGATTTAATATTTAAATATATATTTTTAACATTTAAATTTAATATTTAGTAAAAAATTTGC